AAAGGAGTCATCTTCCCATATATTCTCTTTGGTAGCATTGTAAAGTCTTTCATACAGCTTTTGGACATTTCTGAGCATTTACTTCTCGCTCGGTGTTGGTAGGCGATCTCCAACAGTGCTTCATTGCTCATGCTTGTCCTGTGTTACCGTGTTCTAGACAGCTGAAGTAGCTTCATTTTAAGGTTCGGGGTCATGACTGTATATAGTCAGAACTCCTTTGTCACAACAGACTAATAACCATCTGTGCATTGTTCATCCTAACTTAGCTGGGCATATTCTCAGGTTCACCTCCATGTTCACAAGGATTTTGAAAAACCTGAGTATCATCTGCTCTTGTTTTCATCAGGTGCCCCCTGCCCTCCAGTTTGCTTTTCTATTTCCAGGCTTTTCTCTGAAGATTTAAAGATGTGCTTATGAATAATTTCATTCACTCAATGTGAAATTTCTCATCTTTGCAGATGAGCCTACCATCTGCCACGCTCATATTGGAGGCAAACGAAGTGTCACCTGGACAGACCGTGGAAGCATGTATTTAGGGCAGTTTATTTTGTAAGAATTCCGTGTAAGGCTAACACTAATGCCTTTCCCCCCTCTTGTTCATAGGGAACTCTCCAGATTTATTGCTGCAGGGAGGCTACACTGCAAAATAGATAAAGTAAACGAAATCGTGGAAACGAACAGGTACTGTTATGTCTGTGAATTGTGTAGCAGAATAGGGGGTGGGCATTCTTAAGTGTTTTCCTTTAAAAGTAGGTCAGCTACTGTTATGGAGTAATGTGACTGGTAAATAATTCATTTTTTTTCTTGAATTTATTTATAGACCTGATAGCAAGAACTGGCAGTACCAAGAAACTATCAAGAAAGGAGATCTGCTACTAAACAGAGTTCAGAAACTTTCCAGAGTAATTAATATGTAAAACCATGTAAACGAAGGATTTCCTTTAGAGATAACGATTTGGAATTTTTATAGCTTACTACAGTTCAACTGTGTAGAATAAATACCGCATTGTTGTTTCTTTCAAGTAATTTTTTTCTTACGAAAAATACACTTTCATAGAGTAATCGTAATCGGAGATGATAGAGCCTGAGTTCAAATCTGAGCTTTTAAAATAGGGGTAAATATAAAAGTCTCCTGAATTTTAGAAAGAAGAGTACATACATGGGGTGCCTGAGTCGGTTAAGCATCTGATTTCAACTCAGGTCATGATCCTTGAGCCCCACGTTGGGCTTTGCACACACAGCTCCCTCTATGAAAATAAACAGAGTACACGTCATACAGAAGTCGGTGACTAAACGTAGTATATTCCCTGTAGTAGAAATATGTTTCTGAGGCTTTTCCACAGAGGATAAACCCTGGATTCCAGAATGTACCAATCTCCTCTGACAGTGATCAGAAAAAACCACCTATGTCGGTATTGGCAATGGGATCTGTTTTCCCCCAGCAAACCCCTACAAGTAAGGAAAACAAAGTTGTTCTATGTTTTTTTTTTTTTCCCTTAAATATAATTTAAACCCTGTGAGTCAGATGGGGGAGAAGTGCTAGGAAAAACGAAATCTAAAACCAGATAAAGGAGACAGAGTGAATTAGGGCATGAAGAGCTCTCCTATGGGTGGGGTGTCACTGACGGCCTCGAAGGTGATGTGTAAGTCCAGAGGAAGAACATGCACATATCGAGGAGAAGAAAGATGGAAAGTCACTGGAGGTTTTAAGCAGAGGAATGGCCCAATTTGACTTAACCTGATGATGGGGGCAGGGCCGGTGGAGGGAGCCGGATTTGCTGAAAGAGGAGAATGCGGGGAGAGGAGTCGTCAGCGCAGATCTGAGGCTTCATGCAGTCTGAGTTGAAGTGGCTTCTTACTGTAAACCAAAGGGAGAGAAGTATGCTATTTTAGTTACATGCTGATCAGAATGACTCAGTAACGTTAGAGGCGAGAACATGATCTCAATCGATGGAAAATCATTTGACACAGTTCAGCATTCATTCATGATAAGAACGTAAGCAAACTACAGATAATCAAGGTTGAGAAACCAGAGCCCTATTGCAAACGACAGTACTTCATGGCAATGTACTGGAAGTATGACCTTACCTACGGTCATCGCTACGGTGCTGATGAAGGGGCTGGCGACCTGACCAGAGCTGTGCTCTGCTAGAAAAGTCTGTGTCCTGTGGGCACTCGCTTGGGGGTGGCCAGCTTGGAAACTGCTGGGCGTGCCTCACGCATTTGAGAATATCCACTTAACGGATTTGCAGAAATGCTTGTTTATTAAACCTTAATAATGAGCATCATACTTTCTTGAAGAAAATGTGAATAGAAGTACTGTACTCTTAACCCATGATCCTGAAAATCAGGACAGTTTGTTAAATCCAACATCTTGTAGTCCATTGAGAACTTACTGTGTTGTGTCCTTTTAAAAACTAGAATTCTGGGGGCGTTTGGGTGGCTCAGTCGGTTAAGCATCCGACTTTGGCTCAGGTCATGATCTCACAGTTCGTGGGTTTGAGCCCCGTGTCGGGCTCTGTGCTGACAGCTAGCTTAGAGCCTGGAGCCTGTTCCGGATTCTGTGTCTCCCTCTCTCGGACCCTCCCCCATTCATGCTGTGTCTCTGTCTCTCTCTCAGGAAAAAAAAAAAACAAAAAACTAGAATTCTGTTCTTAGCAGATTGACTCGTTGCAGTTCATGGTACAGGAAAAAAAGGATTGACATGTCAGTTTCTGAAAACAGCCCTTTTCCTCCACTCCCACCTCTAAGACCACCATGCCTGACATGGTCACAGACCAGTTCTGGCTCTTCCTTCAAGGCCCACTATTTTAGCCCAACTGCATAAAATTAGTAGGTGAGGATGACTGGTAAGATAGGCTACAAGAAAGAAATGCTCTCCATTCCCAGTTCAAGATGGGGAACGTGAAAACTCCAGGAGCTGAGAACTCTAGTAGAATAACTTCCCTTCTGATGAAGGAAACAATACAGTTTTGAGGTGAAGGAGTCATTTTCTTCCTTTTGTTTTTCTAAAAAATAATACATGCTCATTGTGAAAAAAGCCTCAAGATACTAAATGTGGGGTGGCGGTGCTTGCCTGGGTGGCTCGGTTCAGTGTCTGACTCTGGTTTTCAGCTCAGGTCATGATCTTGTGGTTTGTGGGTTTGCACCCCAACTTGGGCTCCGAGCTGATAGAAGTCTGTGTGGGATCCTCTCCCTCTCTCTGCCTCTCCTGCTCATGCACACGGGCTCTCTCTCAAAATAAACTTAAGAAAGTACTGAGGTGGATTGCCTTGTAAGTCCTCCCTGCTAGGGAGCGGTCACCATTTTGATGGTCTCCACTTTTAATCCCTTGCACATGTAGCTTTTAGTATCAAATTGGACCTTTTGTTCATGAGTTATTCTATGTAATTACAAATCCCCTTGGAACCCTGGTAAACCTCAAAGTAATCTGGAGGTGAAAACAAAGTTGGAACCCAACCCACCTCTTTTTGAATGAGGCTATATGCCATGGGAGAAACAGCACGGGCACTGAAGCCAGAAAAACCAAATTCTGGTCCCAGCTCTCCTCACACCAGCCATCTGATGCTGGAGAAATGACCTACTGCGTCTCTCTCAGCCTGTCCCCATCTGTGAAGTGCAAGGGACATCAGGCTTAAGTGGCTCAATTACTGAAAACAAAACGAAAGCTCTCAAACACCACAGTAACATACTACACACGTTTCTCAGCGCAGCAATACGAGTGTTAGTAGCTGGCATAGAAGATGAATAAACTGAGGTACCTCTGCCAACTTTCCTAGGATAAACAAACAATTTTAGATATTTTTGTACTTGAGGTCGTTAAACTGATTTTTTTTTTAATGTTTATTCACTTTTGAGGACAGTGATAGCAGAGGAGGGGCAGACAGAGAGGGAGGCATGGAATCCGAAGCAGGCTCCAGGCTCCCAGCTGCCAGCAAAGAGCCCGACGTGGGGCTTGAACTCATAACCCGAGAGATCATGACCTGAGCAGGAGTCAGACACTTAACTGACTGAGCCACCCAGGCGACACTCACCTATCTTTTAAAGAGGATTAAATGGCTGATACTTGAAATACTGTCTTTCTCCCTGATGAGGAGGGCAACTGTGATCATCTCTCACCTTTCTCATGCTGCACAAACTACAAGTTGCAGCAAACACACCACACCCACAATGGCAAGGGGGGAGTGAAGTTAAATCCCCATTTGGAAAACAGAAGTTCAGGTCCTCACTAGCTTGGGTTTCAAAGGCACAGAGCACGGGTCTGCATGATCCCTGGGTTTCTGCAGCCTACAGAGGGTATCAAGAACCGTAGCAGTTGGGTCCAGCCCACTGTAACCCTGAGGGAAGTACACAGTCAAGGGGGGCGGATTACCTCTGTGGTGCAGAAGGCTCTGCCGTAACCCTCCCGGTACAGCCCACGTGAAGAGTTAAGTGGGCGGAATCGGCCACCGGGGGCCACCGGGTGATCAGCGTCAACGGAGCGGTTCCAAATCCCGCTCCCCGCTGAGACTGCCTCAGGGAAGTGACCGCTTCGTCAAGACCGCACTTACTTGGCATCCGGACAACCCCTCACTCCCTTAAGAGCTCACCAGAGCCCGCGCCCCCAGCGCCTCTGCGGTTCCTGTAGTGTCAAGGCTGATAAAACCCTACAGCCTTCTTACCTTTCCGAGGACTCCGCTCTTCGTGCGGTCCTCTGGTTCCTGGTCTGTGGCTCCCTCCGGGCCAGAGGATTTCCACCCTCATTCAAAATGGCCTCGCTGTGCGGCCCCTCCCCACCTACAGCACCACCGACTCACTTCCGCTCACTGCCTTTAGACCTCCAGGCTCTCCGTCCTAGTCACACCAGACCGAGCAACTGGCTGTCGTCCCCTCAACCCCGACTACTTGAAAACTGGCCACCTCTACAGTGATGGCCTCGCCTCACGGCTCCTTAGCCTGCTAACTCCAGCCCCCCGCGCCCCCCCCCCCACTTCTGTCCTCTGCCGTGGCCTCGCCCAGGATGCAGGAATCACAAGCGCCTCTGAACAGCTCTGTTGTGAAAACTGAAGCCTGGTATTCCACTGACCTCACCATCCAACCCCTCTGTCCCCTGACCTGTCCCTCAAAGCGCTCTGCCACCCTCCTAACTCTGCCACCGGATCCACCTTTGTTAACCCCTCCTCCGTTAACACCCACACTAACTTAAACGTGGACATTGCTCTGTGACCTTGAACAAATCGCTTCACTGGTCTCATCACAGACGAGTTACTTGGAGGGGGATCAGAAGACTTTACTGGGAGGGTGATTACGAATAAAAGGTCTCTGAGCGCCCGCAGATTCTACACGGCAGCTTCCAGCTCTAGCCCTGGGGTCAAGACCATCACCAGTGACTTAGCCAAACCCTCACTCACATGCTTTAATCCCTTGGCTAGCTCCCTGCCCAAGTTCTAGCTTTCCCACTCAATCAACACCCGCCGTTCCAGTTATCCTGGAGAAAGAGGCGGGAGCACACGCAAACTGAGCTGGCCGATGAGGTTGTTAATGACAACGCTATCAACGGTCTTACCTGAACTTGTAACGAAACCATCTCCATCTCACCCTCTACCTTCCCTGATCTGGTTATTTCACTTTACTGACCAGTCTTCACCAAAATACGGAGTTTCATCGTGGGCTTGCTTCGAGCCAGCGCTTGCTGCGCTGTGGAGGATGGGCTGCGGGTCTGTCGGGTCCCGGCAATGGAACGTGAAGTGTGATGTGTCTGTGCCTCTGGGAGAGTGGGCCTGTCCCTCCTTTCATGCGATCCTCGATATCTGTGAAAGACATGAAGATGAAGGACCAACGACCTAACAGACCTGAACTCGCAGCGCGGCGCCACCACCAGAGTTGTGGGACTGCAGGCAAGGCGCTCCCCTCCTAGATGTCGCTCATCCACACGGGCAGGGTCAGCGACCTGCTCTAGAGGCGCTCCGGGAGCGCTCACGTCTGCAGAACGCTGCTCTGGGTGCTCGAGGCCTTCCACTCGCTGGGCGGCCCTGTAACTCCGCAACGAGCCGAATCTACCAGCTGCCTCTCCTTCGAGGCAAGCGCATGTGCTCCCCCGTGACCTCACTGACCATCTCTGAGTGAAAGACAACCCTCCACAGCCCACACCTCTCTCTCAGGCCCATCTAGGCCGTGCAGATAGCCAGTAGGGAGTAAATCGGAGTCTCCCACTGGCCCCTCAGACTCATTGTTGTAGAGATTCCTTCTGTTACCCATGACACACTCCACTAGAGCTCGTCAACTCACGTAGCTCAGCTAGAACCCGTGTGGTGTCTGGGAGTCTGTCTTCCCCTGCATGTTTAGTATAATTAGACCTCAAGACCTGTTGGGTTCTACCTTTAAGGAATCTGTGTGGTCAGTTCCCCATTTCTCCCCATGGTCACCGCCTTAGTTTGGAAACTCAGCTCCTACCTGGATGATGGGGACAGCTCTGCAGCTTATTTTTTCCCAAGGATCTCACCTGTCCATGCTGTCCTCCATAATTATTAGAGGGCCTGTATGCAATAGGGATTAAAAAAAAAAAAAAAAAGGTAAAATCATATGTTTGATTCTCCCCTTACACCCGAAAACGTTTTTCTTTGGCTCCATCTCCCTTTCTCTGGAGAGAGAATCTCTGCTAGTGCCAGCTTTGGCCCAGGGGCTCTGCTTGTAGAAAACGGGGTAACAAGTGCCAAGAATCACAGCCTTCTAAGGTGAAAGACAAGTTTAATGAACTCCCATTAGCAACAGAAGCAAGAGTTTCTTACTTGAAAAAGGACTGACGGAGTAGAAAGTGGGGTAAGAAGGGGAAGACCGTAGGCCTGACTCAGGGGAGAACTCTTTGATGAGCATGAGGAGGGGGAGGGGAGAGAGAGAGAAGACGAAGACGTTTAAAGGAGGAAGTGTGAGGCAAAAGAGAGGGAAGTGCAAGAAAAAGGGAAAGAGAATAAGTACTTCGATTTTCTGGTCCCCGGGAAAGATGTGAATGGCTTTTACTCTGGGCACATGCACCACGCTGGCTCGGGGCCCTGACAGTCTCTGGGCGCTCCGGCTACATTTGGTTAAATGGTGCATCTGAGAATGAAGGCCCCAAGATATTTAAGGTCCTTGACAATGTACCAACTTCTGCAACCCTTCAGTCCCTCCTTTCCAGAAGCTTCGTCTAGAATGGTTCTCTCTTCCATGTTTCTTCCCACCTGTGCTTGCCCAGTTTGCTCCCTCTGCCGAGAATGACCTTACCCTCCCTTCCTTGCATCAGGAGGGTCTCCTGCTATTCACGGACAGGTTACCTGCAAGGGAATAGAAGTAAAAAGCATTAAATTGAGTGAACCGGAGCACCTGGGTGACTCAGTTGGTTAAGTGTCTGACTCGATTTCAGCTCAGGTCATGATCTCATAGTTTGTGAGTTTGAGCCCTGCGTGGGATTCTTCTCTCTCTAAAAAAGGAATACACTTAAAAAAAAAAAAATTGAGTGAACCTCTTCCCAGGAAGTTTAAGAAGGACGCCCAAGGTGAAAGAAGCTTCTCAGGGGTGATTTAGGAGTTGGCTGATCTAAGGAGGGAAACGGAAGCCCATAATGTGGTGGGGGGTTGAAACTACCCTGACTCCTTCATTTAATACGTGGACATTTTCTTCAACACACAGATCAGTTGCTTCCTTTATTATCTTAAGCAACAAAAATAACTTTTAATCTTTTGGAGTGCTTTATCTATGAATCGTCAGCCGTGTCCAATTTCTAGAGATAAAAAGTTTCCATTGTGCTCTAATACCAGAATGTACTTGCACTGCCAGCGAGGGAAGAAGTGTGTAAAAGCAAGGAAGAGACCGGACTAGCTACAGATACAGCACTTACCTTGCAGTAAAAACGAAAACTGACCACACGCCAGGAGATTTACACAGAAGCCAGTACAAAGGGAACGCATTTCCCAATCTGTGGACTTCCCTTTGTTGACAAACCCGCAGGGCGAGGCGTGGCAGTGTTCACAGCTCACACAGTTACCGTTTCTCCTCGGCGAAGGCTTTGTGCCCGAGAACGAAACGTCTTGAGCCCTGGGAAGTGCTCCGCTTACACAGAACGGAAGTAAATGGGTGCCTCACGAGGGTGTCTGACGCCAAACACGAAGGGAAGTCAGACTGGACTGAAAGGGGTTTAGGATCACGAGGCAGAAACATGGACAACAGTTCATGCAGCCTTATTTATTGAGAAGTCCTAATTTTATTGCCCATTTAGTAACATGTTTGTTCCACAAACTAATTTCTCATAAAGCAAAGCACAACCTTTTCTTATAAATAGTATAAATTATTTTATTTACAGAAACTTGTTACAAAACAAATAGACTATATATTTCTTCTCTTTTAAATATCCAAAGTAATTTTCCATCCCTTGACATTTGTTCATGTTCTATACAGCAGCCAACACGAAGTCCAGCTGAGATGCTTGATTATGTGTACAAATTATCACACTATTCACACATTTCAACACAGGAGATTGCTTTTTATAACCAAGCTCAAAAAAAAAAAAAAAAGAAAAACAAACGGCAAAATGCTTTTCAAGGCCCTACATTCACACCGACAGTATGTAGTGCTCATTTAAATGATCTGAAAATGTAAAATGTTTTTGCACAAAATGTAAAAATGATTATTTTCTGTTAAACAATGAAACATTTCACAATCATTTCCAGAGCCCCCCACCCCCCACCCCGTCCCCGCCCCGGACATAAGGAGACAGTGAGAAATTCCTTGGCAACAGAACTCTCGCAGGAAGACAGCTGCCTTTATAAGTTACATTTCTCAAATTATACATTTTTCAATGTTCTCAGAGGTACTTTGTATTATATTTTTGGAATATAAAATAGTTTAAATATTCTCTTCTAAACTCTGTATTTCATGAGCGGAGAACGAAACGGACATACTGTGTACGCTGCTGGCTGACCATAAAGACCGGTAACCCTTGGTGCCACCGGGCACTCCGTCCCCAGGTGAGTTACTGTGAACCAAAAGGCCTTAATGTTAAAACACCTTATAAAATTACCAGCATGGGTGGTTCTTCAACCCCTCCCCTAAAATTTTAGAAACAATATTTAGGTGGAAAAAGCAAACTCCAAAAGTTTCAACTGAACATTCAAGTCTTTTTAAAGAATCTGTCGAAGCTTAAAACTAGGTTCAGGCACTTTTTCCATTAGTTTGAAACCACATCACATACTAACACACATGTGCTCAGAGTTACACAGACACACGCACAGGCACGCGCGCACACGTTCACACGCAAAACACCAACAGAAGAGAAGCAGTGTGTCACTTGGTTACATGTAGTCTATCGGGAAATCAGGCAGCTAGAGAGAAGCAATGCCCGCTCCGAACGAATCCACTCCCGGGACACGGAAAGGGACACAAAGACTTTCACAGAACAGAGGCAACCCTTAAACTGTAAAGGAAGCAGGTTCTAGAACTATTGGCTTGGCAGTGAACCACTTCAAATTATAAAAAGGTATTTACTTTTATTAATTAATAAATAAATACTAGATGATCTCAATTGTACCAAAACAGGATATCAGAAAAAAAGACCTGTGCAAAAATACATATTTAAATATGTACAATTCATTCTTAACAAAATATGTCTTCTGAAATAGGGATACTTCCATATTTATAATAGAACAAGAAATTCCAAAATAAAGATACAAAAGTAGGTTTTGTAGAATTCTTTGTTCATCATTGCAGCACATTTTTTTTTTTTGTAGGTTAAGAAAACTGCAGGAGTTGTCACGAAATTCTATTGGAAAGAATATAAAAATTATCTTGGTTTTAAATTGATACCAAAGTCTGTCTAGAAACAACCCAACCACTGCAAATTTGGTTTTTGCAAGTTAATTTAATTCAAAAAAATACTTGTACTCCCGTGTTTTAAATGGTCTTAATTGTTCGTTATAATAAAAAGTAGTTGTAGGAGAAAATAAAATATTTGAACAGTCTAAAATTTAATAGCACTGTTTAGAATAGGTCTGTTTGTGGCAGGCAGAATCCAAAATGGCTAATTTCCTAATCCCGATCATCTGTGTACTACCGGGAGACATAATGATATTCAATTAAAACCTCAGTCTAAGAAATCAAATGATCAACACTCCCTTATCTAAGTATCTACATAATTCTGAATCAACTTGCTATCATGGGTCCTATTCACATCTTTCGGAACGTGATCTGTCTATAAATTCCATTGCTAGAAGCAACTTTATTTATATCCATCAAGTCCCCTTGGCTCTGAAAATAAATTCTACCCATACCCCATTGCACTTGTCACCAAGGAATCAACTAAGTCCATTCTGATTCCCTTTTACTTCCATTCTCTCCCTCCGCTGGGATGGAGCAACCATACTGATTTCTCCTAACTGCACCGAACTGGCCCATCCGTGCGCTCTCTTTAATAAGCTCTCCTATAGTATCATTTTTTAAAATATTTACTGATTGCATAATAAGTGAACAAGATACTCTTCTCCCCTTCCTTTTAAAAAAAATCAATATTTTACATCAATTTATAGCTAAAGTATCTGCATAAAGTTTTGTTGTCTTACATACTAAGAGAAATTCTGTAGCAATTCACATTATTAGGCTGGTAACCAAGTATTTATTCATTCTACTTGCTGTTGACTTGAAATTCCCTGAAACTGAAGTTTGTAACCCAAGATCTATAGGGGGGAAAAAAAGGATGCACTGCTTGGCTCTGCCCAGGCCCCACCCAGAACAGTGATCCGAGCCCGGGGGAAATCTACCCGCTGGTGTCCGGCAACTCTGCGTGTTCTTCTGCAGTGCAAGCGCCTGGGCTCTGCTTTCAGGTGCTGTGAGAGTGGAATCACCAGTTAAAATGCCCCAGCTCATCCCCCAAATTCACGGACACCTTATCAAGCAATGACATTTCAACATATTAAGCTCTGACTTTTGGGATGGGGTGTTCCACAAAACTAAATGAATAACCAACCCCGAGAGCCTCCAGAGCTCTCTCAGGAAGATGGCGGGTGGTAATCCCCTCCCAGCACCGAGGGCTTGTTGGGGAGACACGGTGACGCGTCACAGCATCTGTGCACGGGCACGCGTACACATCTGCCTGCTCCCCTCGCTGGGCGCCGGCCCCCCACCCACGGGCATCCCAATGAACACGTGGCGAGCACGGGCAGTGCAGACACACACACAGTACGGGGAGCGCTCGACGCTCGACACAGGAACTCACACTGAGTCCCAGGACAGTATCCACAGAGACCGAGGGAAAAGCACAGAGTGTCCTGGAAACATTTAAGTAGATTAATGACTTAGTGAATGACGGTTTCTGCTGCATCCTAATTATTTCACTTACAAAGGCAATTTTTTTTTTTAAAAAACAGGAGACCAGGCACGACAGCCAGCCCAATCTGCCGTGCTGTTTAACACGAAAACTTGAAGGATAAAAAATTCCATCTCTTTGGAAATCTTGGAAAAACATTCCCCCCATAGTGAATTCATCCACCCCTCCCTTCCCCCAACCAAAATTTGGCTTTCCATTATCAAAACTAGTTTGCATTTGCATTTTCTTTAAAAAAAAAAAATTAAACATAGGATTGCTTTTGTACCATGAAAAGTAAGCCTCTAAAATGTTGTATACTTGCTCTCTGGGCGTCAATGGCTTTAAACCAGTTTGTAAGTTAGAAACTTTTAACAGCTTCTTATCGCAAATCACCTGCAAAAGGCTGGGGGGAAATACAGGCTATTGTGTCCTGGCGCCTCGCAACTGAATGTCCGTATTCCATTCCTGGAACGTGGCTCTAAGAACCGGACAACAGAGCCCTTCTCCGGGGGCCGCGGGGGGCAGCTCTGCCCTTCCCCGGAAGGCGCCTCCAGCGGGCACGCCTAACTGCTGGAGAGTGACCTACAGAAGACAGTGTAAGAAGAGGACCTGGGACGGGAGAGGAGGGAGGGAGGAAAGTCTACACTAATGCTCTTGCCATGACATTCTCCCCCGGCCCCGGCCAATCTACTCGAGTGGCTCCATGATTTGCTGCAAGTTAAAAAAACAAAGCAAAAACTTCTCACAGATTCGTAGCAAGCAGTCCAGACCACTTTAACACTGATAAAAGCAATTTCGGTGGCTGAACTTGATCCAGTGTCCTTTATGAGTACTCACTGCTACTGACATAGCTTCAGGGAAATCCTCGTTACAACAACAGCCCGGCAGATTTCTACCCTCGAGGCCCACAGGAGGTTGGGAAAACAGACTCAAAGGCATCGTGGAGTCCATAGTGCTGAGTGGAGGTGTAACTTGTCGTCAAAAGTGTCCAGATTATTCCTCCCCGCGCTATTTTCAGCTGTCAGGGACGTGCCTTTGGCTTTCAAAAAAGAGGGGGTGGGGAAACAATGAAAAGGTTAAGTAAGCAGCTGTACACGGCACTGCCCTGATGCTACACACGAATACTGCAAAGGCCACGCACCACTAAAATCTCCAGACGGCAGGGGCAGTCAGCTATGGGGTTTGGCCTTAGCTTCCAAAAGCCTTCATCGCCCTTGGGCACAATCATTCTAGAAGACTAAGTTTTAGAAAACTGTCTGGAAGACATGCAGGCCAGGTTTCCAGCTTAGAGAAAAGGCTCTCATGTTTACCTGGTGGTTTTATCTACTGATTTCATTTCCTTGAAGGTCTTCCAGGTTGTCAGCTGAGAAGTGAACAAGGTCATGTGGGCCAGCACACACAGGTGTGAAAACTCACAGCCACGGACGGCAGTGCCCGTGCCCGGGGAGAGGGAACTAGGGCCCCCACTCTCTCAGAGTGAGCGGTTTAAGAAGCTGTGGGCACCCCAGGGGGTCGGGGGAAGCTGCCTGGGCCCACCTGCCAGGCTTCCTAGTGGGTCCCACTGCATTCCCTGGCATAAGGGCCTTCGAGCAGCTATCTGTGTTAAATCAGCTCCACAAGAAAGAGAGTCGAGGTTCCTACTTTTCTGAGAGGAGTATTCTTAAAGCATTTTGGAATCACGGTTCCTTTAAATTCTGATGAAAGCTATAGGATCCCTTCTGCAGATAAACGAGCACAGACATAAAAATTACGCAACACTTTCTGGGGATTTTACCAATCCTCCGATGTCCAGCCACAGGACCCCCTAAGATCTATGCAGCGTAACAGCAAGGTTTTCCACTACACAGAGGAAATCTTTCCCAAATCCAAACTTAAGCTGAAACACATTTTAATAACCCAAACTGAACCTGTCGTGCCTAGTGGGCCTGAGCCCTCACTGATGGGGACTACCCGAGGCGGCAAACTGGTACAAGCCATGCTTGGGCAGATGTGAGGGCTGTACCAGATTCAAACACAAAACAAAAATACTACATGACTTTAAAAGTGGTCAAACTGCTCATGCAAGTCCAAATCTGCTGTTTCTTTGAAATCGGTAACCAACTTCTGGGAGTGTGGGCTCTGGGTAGATGGGGCTCCTGCTCCCTCTTCTCTCCACAGGTGCTGTGCTGTTCACCTCTGCTGGGCTCCCCCGGCCTCCTCCCCTCCTTTCTGTTACTTGCGGGTACCGAGGCCGCGGCAGCGTCTACGTGAGGACACACGCACTCAGGGAGCTACGGCCCGGGGCACCACAGCGCCATGGGCCTGCATGTCCCCATGGAATCGGGGAACCACACGCAGAAGGGAGTTTCTAAACGACGGCTCTACTGCTTCCTGCAGCGTCTGCACTGCATCTTTACGCTCACAAACTCTAGTGAATAACTAGAAACCAAGAAGTAAAAGGCCATTTTCACATGTTGAGGGACCCCTTGCTCTAAGAGCCAAGCAACATACAAACAGCCCCCATAGACGTGAGGCTCAAAGAGAAAAATTTAAGCAGTTGCTATTTAAATTCATGGATAATTATGTTCCCTGAACCTTTGACGCTGGGTGTTAATTCACGCAGATACTGGAGGGAACTCTATCACAGAAAGAAACTTCCTGGTATATTCTGGAGAAGGCCTAACGTGCCATTTAAGTTCTGAAGATGAAAAACAAAACAAAGCAGCCCCCACACCTCAAGTCAGGGCCGCAGGGTGAGGCTGTGGAAATTCCTGTTCAACGCCAAGAAGAGGAGACCTGCTGCTGTGAGTGAAGAAACCAGAGGAGAGACTGCGACTCAGAGCCACGGATGCTGGAGGAAGGCCCTTCAGGGGGCAGGGGGGCAGGGGACACGGGTAACAGGTGGGGGAGAGCGGGAACAAAGAACGTAGGAGAGAAAGTCACATTCCTTATGAATCTGACACCCAGTCAGCCACCGCTGTACAAATGGGCTGCGTTCATGGTTCTCTTTAAGCTCCTAAGTTTGAGATCTGAGTCTTTGTCTCTGCCCACACTTACTGTTGTTTTCCTGCCTCCCTAGAAAACCGTGAGAGAGCTTAAGGACAGAGTTAACCAGAAAATCAGGAATTCTTTGATGGGAAAAATGAAAAGGTCTTTAAAAATTTAAACCATCCCTTTCTAGATCAGTGTGACTGCAGACCAGCTTTCTGCAGAGGAACAAACCAGAGGCACACCCTGCAGAAGGCCCGGCCTGCGTGCTCCCCGGCCCTGGAGGGGACCCTGCCGTTGTGCAGGCCATGCGGCTTCCGCGGCCCTATGTGCTAGGATGCATGTCACGGTCTCCTTACCCAGGAGCAGCTTCCCGTGAGAAATGCCGGCAGAGAGACTGTTTTACCTCCATACGGCCGTGAACTCTTCCTTTTTGAAGAGAGACCACAGAGCCGGACATGTGTTTACAGGCAAACCAACCAACCCCGCCACGCACATCCGAGCCGGCGCGAGCTCGAGGGAGAGGCAGCGGGCGTCCCCGCGGGGCTCACAGGCCGTGTCCTACCTGATGGAGGAGGGAACTGTTCGTCAGGCCTTGTGCCCCCGGGCCGGCGCCCGCGTGTTTCATGTGCACGTTGTTCATGGCTGGCAGTTTGGCGACCTTTGTGGGCTTGCTGCTGCTGTTGTTGACATTGCCTGCGCCGGGCGAGCACTTTCTTTTCTTCCCTATGAGTCTGTCCAGAGGAGTGTGAGAGTGTGAGTAGCCGCCGTGGGAGTTGACGGGCAGCTCGCTGGACTGGTGAATGAACGGGCCCAGAGACAGCGTGGAGTCGCCGCTGTTCACCATCACACTCATCCTCTTGATGGACTCAGCGGGGCTCCCCCCGGGGGGGCCCCTCCCTGACTGCTCGTGCCGGACGCTCACCGAGTTCGCCTTAGTAACCACGCAGTTGAGGCCGATGCCGTGGGAAGACGCTACCGCTGAGGGGTAGGGAGGCCCCGAGTGCGCCATACAGTTCTTCCTAAAAGTCTCCATGGAATGAGAAGAAGAGGAAGAGGAGGAGGAGGAGGAGGAAGAGTGAACTAACAGTGGGGAGCTATTTTTGCGTTTCTTTCCTGAGCCGCCACTGGTACTGCTACTGGCGTTGTGACAGTTAGTGCTGTTACCAGAAGGCTCCTTGGGCCTTAAAGACTTGCTGGATTTCAGCTTCTGAGGTTTCCTGGACATCGGGGAGGAGGGCACGGAGGACAGGCCCGAGGGGGTGGAGGGGGACGAGGACGAAGAGGACACTTGTCTGGATTGCATACTGCACACAGGGTCCAGTGCCCCGGAGGCGGCGGGCTGTGCATTTAGTGTGGTTCCATGAGCTGGTACCGATTTGCCGTTTGGGGAGATGCAGGTGGACGAGAGCAGGACTGGGGACGTAGACACGGTGGCTGCCGTCAGGTAGCTGACCCCGCACTGCGACGTGGGCACCGCGTTTGGCCGGTGAGGAACGCGTGTGGAGGCGGGTGCTGTGGTGCTGGGCACTGGCGGGATCTTCCTGCCAAGAGAGGGGGCAATGAGCAGTCAGTGCCACAGGCCTCCAGGGAAATGTCTGCGGGGGCGCGCCCAATCACCCAGGGCAGAGAGTCTGAAGTGCACGGTCAGTCCCCCCGCTTCCCTCCTTCCAGCCCCGCAGAGCCTTGCCGGGGCTCTCTGAACACTGGCAGGGAACGCCCTGTGCGCCGCATCCGCCGCCGGCCCCCAGCCCCACACGGCCTCCTTCCATTCACCGCCCTGGCTCCTGGGTTCCCCCCACCAACCTTTCTTGCCCCAACAGCAGGCCTGCACGGGAGGCCCCGTCCACATTCCACCTGCAACACTCAGACCCCAACTTCTGCTCAGCCCGTGGTGTCAGGCCACCATCACATTCTTAGGAAATCTGTCCTGCCTGTCCAGACTCGCCTGGTTCTGCATGGACTCACGCTGCCAGTTCCCAGACTTGGGGGAACCCACGGCAGCTTCCACGTGTGACGCTGATCACTAAGCTCTCTACAGAGCAGTGCACACCTTATTCATAACTGTGCCCGTGGCGCCCACAACCCAGAAGGCACGCAAATGCTGAGACAATCCGTGGATACAGGAGGGGAAAGGAAGGGCAGAACAAGTTCACAGCAATTGCTAGGTCCTCACTCCGGGCTTGGAGCACATCTTGGAGTCCCCAGCCACAAGGCTGGCACAATGTATTCCCTTACTAACGTCTGGGCAAGGTACCGACCTGGGGAGTAGAGTGTCGTTCAAATGGCAAACCAGGGAGGCCCCTTTTTACTTTTGCTCCGATTTTAAAATGGGACAGCTCCAAAATTTCAAAAACCCCTATGGCAGAATTAACACCGAGGTAACAACACAGAAACTGGCCTGAATGGAAGGAAGCCAAGCACCAAGACTGGCCCGGTCCTGACCACGGGCCACAACGAACGCTCTGGTCACCACACCAGCTGGGGCTGCAGCTCCTCATCTTCCAAGTGAAAGCCATCCTACACTGCTGCCCAAGTGCTCTCCAGCAGCTATTTAAGGCCTATAACTATTAATAAAAAGAACTATTTACTGTGAGTATTTGTACCCGCTTATAACCCTCCCAATTCAGAAGTGTAGCTCTGGCCCTAAAGATCGGTGCATCCGGGCCGACCACACCCAAATCCCTGTGGGGTGGCGCTCAGACACAAGATGTTTCTCAATCTCGCTGGAAGATTCCAACAAGAAGCAAAGACTGAGAAGCTGGGCTCCATCCCCATGCTACTCAGAGAGGACGAACACGGACATTACCTGAAAGGCAATGAGAAATGATGAGTCCCTGTGCTCCACCCAGACCCTCTTCATCAGAATCTGGATCTCAACCCGGTCCCAGGCAGGCACTCCGTGGGCACTGGCACCTCTGAGAAGCCCTGCTGTAAACGTAGGAATGTAGTGCTGCTCCCACTGGCTGGGTGCAGTGGCTTTGCGCGGCCACCAGGTGGCTCAGGGAGACAAAGCCTAAATACCAGGCTGCAGGACCCAAATCCTGGGAAAAGGGAAAGCTTCCATAGAGGGGACATGTGGATCTCTCTGCACAACATATTGGTAAAAAAGCTCTTTTAAGTCATTCATTACTTTTTGCATAAGGACGAGACAAAGGATATGTAATCGTACTGATCTACGTCTATACAAATTAACTCCGTAAAAGATACATGAGCAATTAATAAAAGTGCTTTCGTCTGGAGGCTGGGGGGGGGGGGGGGGGGGGGGGGGGGGGGGGAGGGGGGGGGGGAGAAGGTGGGAAATAGGAATGTAGGGACCAGGAGGACTAGAACTTTGAAATGTATACCTCTTTATTTTCATTTTTTTCTTTTTTCTACGCAAGTGAATTACCAATCTAACAAATTCTGCAACCTCTACATTGCCCCCTATTCCACCCCCGCCAAAGAAAAACCCTTTGATGATGATCCCATCCCTTTCTTTTTTTTTTTTCTTTTTAAATTTTTTTTTTTTATGTTTTATTTATTTCTAGGAGAGAGAGAGAGACAGCGTGAACAGGGGAGGGTCAGAGAGAGGGAGTCACAGACTGAAACAGGCTCCAGGCTCTGAGCTGGCAGTCAGCACAGAGCCCGACGCGGGGCTCGAACCCACGAACCGCGAGATCATGACCTAAGCGAAAGTCGGACGCTTAACCGACTAAGCCACCCAGGCGCCCCGATCCCATCCCTTTCTTAAGGGATGTGGAATCGTGGTCCCCAGTCAAGAATGGACAAGCAGTTGGCAGAAATGAGAGTGTGGAACTGGCCTTTGCGGTCATGGTCATGCTCCAGAGGATGTGCTGGTCTATCTGACCACCGTCCAGATTGCTATACTGAAGAGGACTTCTTTCACTGGCATACTCAGATCCCACCTCCACAAATCCTTAGCCGTAACAGGTAACTGAGGAGTAGGGGACTGAGGAGGCTGTCACCCAGAGTGGGGGCCTGCTGGAAGAGGGGACTTTTGGCCCAGCCAGCAGGATGAGACCTGGACCACCTTGGGAGTTTGGCTGAGTGCATCAAAGATGCCAGCTGAGGACTGTCCCCTCCAGCTGAGACGCGCGCAGCTCCTCCCAGCAAACCCCAGGGGCTGCCTGAGAAACTTGCATGCACCTCACTGCCGGCACCTCTCTCCGGGCTCCACCTGGCCCAAGCCTGTGAGCCAGCTCATCGAGCAAAACAGCTGTATTGGCTTTTTTAAAACCAAAGTTCATGTTAGCGGAAAGGCAGGATTTCCCCCTTGCTAGGAATGAGTGATTGATAACGTTGTCAGCCTCTGACAGAACAAAGAGAGAGACAGTGGATGCAACCTCATGAACTTGTGTTTTCCCAAGTTCACCGCACGAAGATGCCAACCCCTCCACACAAGCCACTAGGAACCGAAACTAAATGCACCCCAACTGCTGGCCATGAACCACTCATCAGGATAACAGGGAGAAGCCATGCTGAGGACACTTGTAAACTCTTAGGAGTACGCTCCCCAAGTCCTGGCGGGTAGTGTGAAGAAATATGAAGCGGAGATTTCACGTATTTGGGGGTTTTCTGATATTTGGAGACCCCCAGAATCCCAACAAACCAGTGCCCCGACTCTTTTTCCTGAGCAAGGGCAATGGTCCTTCAGTGAAGAAGGAAGAGGAGCCTCTTACCTAGTAAAGCCCAGGAAGCAATGTGAAATCAGATAGTAGGGCACCACGGCTCTGGGTCTGATTTTCTAAGTGAAGAATGCAAGTCCTGTTAATGATCACGGAGGTGGTTTTCTGGATTGTGGACTATCTGAGGCCTCTGACTAGCTTTGTCTGCCTTTAGGAAACCAAGGCGGCCAGGCAGGTGGATGTACTGGCAGAGTGTGCTCAAGGAGGCACGAGGAAATGATGCCCAAATGGAGAATACGGAATGACATGTGGATTACTGGGCAGCCCCCCTGCTTTAGCAAAACTCAGTATTTCCCAAAGCAGGTTCCAGCAAATGTTAGTTCCCAGAAATGCTCCCCTAAAGAGGTTCCCAGGTCAAAACAGCTTGGGAGATGTTCTACATTATAAATAACATCTCCTGCTTTGAGAGTTATAATCAAGCGCCTTCAAGGCTCTGAGAAGTCCTGCGGTAATGAAAATGGGATGTCACTTGAGAAAAAGCTAAGCCCTCTGGCCACGGAACTCTTCTTCCACTTAGAATCCCATGTAGGAAATAGCTGCACACATACTGCCACACAAGATGACCACCTTATACTGTAAATCAGAACACACAGCTCCTCTTCCTGAAAGCCTCTGCAGCTCCCACTGCACTCAGAATCAACCTCAGGGTCATCTGGTCCCTGCCAGCTTCTTAGGTCTCATCTTGCACCATGATCAATCACTTTCTTGCCTTTTTCAAGCAAGTATGATCTTTTCTGACTCAAGACCTTTGCACACATGGTTCTTTCTGCCCGCCCCACCCTCCCCTGGCTGCTTCTCCTCATCCATCTCTGGCTCTTCTCTAGGACCACCGCTTCAGCGAGACTTTCCCTGAATCCCTCGGGCTTGTTGTTTGCTCATCCTAGCTCTTAGTTTGGAAATAAAGGGCCTCTGGGTCCAGATCCTGGCCCTACCACCAACTTGCTGTGTGACTTCTCAGTTCCATGATCTGTAAAATAGGGAAAGTCAAGGTCACTGGAGACCGCAGTGTGTTGCCTGGCACACAGTAAGCTCTCAGTAAGTGCCAGTGACTGTTAGTGCGTCCACGATCTCCCTTATGACAAGCTATGACCCCTACTGACTCTCTGCTCGGCGGTTTTTGTGCTTTGCCCCCAACCAGAATGCCAACTCCACGCGTGTGGAACTCCCATGCTTCCAGAGCAAGGCATGTTTGCTGAGAGACTGACTGAATGCATGAATGATGAGGGGCTTCTCAGGGATAGCGAAAGGGCACGTTTTCATTTTAGAGAAGCTCATCTTCATGAGATCAGTCTGGTAAGAAAGAAAGAGGATGCTGCCCCAGGTGAGGTTGGCCCCTCTCCCCACCCCCGGCACTCACTTCCACAGCTGCGCGTTCAGATGCTTCTCCACCATGAGGTTGAGGGCGCAGCGAACCCGGTTCCACCTCGAGTCAAACACGTAATAGCCTCTTCCAATCTGCCGGCTCCCGAATGTGCAAAACTGCAAGAGAGAACACCCATGCCACACGTGCTTGCTAATGCCGGCAGCGGCGCGGCCCATCCGTGTTCTCCCCACTTCGGGAGAGGAGCTGAGCATGGAAGAGCTCTCACTCTGAGGGATGCTGCCTGTGAAGCATGGGCATGGTGATGCCCAGCCCTGAATTCCACTGGAGAGAAAGGGAAAAGCAGGTGGGGTCCCGTCGCCTCCAGGGCGTCCTGTTCTGAGCTGCTCCACACCCTGACCATGTCTCTCTCTCTCTCCCTCTCTCTCTCTCTCTCTCTCTCTCTCACACACACACACGGGCACGCCAAGATCCCTGGCACGCCCCTGGCAGCGCCCTGTTCCTGTGTGGGGAGGGTCAACACTGGGGTGCATGTGGAACTTACAGATGCTGGCTGAGGATGATGACCTGAATAATGACAGTCCAGTTTTTCAACAGACTCTTCTTTGTCATCGCCTTCTCCCTCCTCACTGGATAACCGAGAAGCTGGCTCAGTGGCAGGCAGGGGAGGGTGTGGAGATTCATGGACTGGAGGAGGGTCGACGGGGGCACTCCCACCTTGCTGTGCAGGGCAGCCTGGAGGCCTTGGTGAGTAGAAAGTGCAGCAGCGATCAGATCACACATCTGGGAATCAGCTGCCTTAACCCAGATACAATAACGTGTCCAAGACCACCTGGGGAGGCCTCGGGTCCCCCAGGAGCACTGGGGCAACAAACGCTGATCAGGTGGCCTGGGAGGGACGAAGTCACTCTCCTGAACCGCACGGTGTCACAGGAAGCGGTCTGCCAGATGTACCCAAAGGTACCTTATGAATGGTTCTTCCTTCTATAGCCACCTGGGTGGCTCAGGGCCCCTTCCTATTCTCTTCAAAGAAGGGGAGACCGAAGTGGAATTTAAGAGAATTCTTTCTTTGATTCCTCTTCAAATTCCACCTGGATCTGGGTTATGGAAGCAATAAATTACACAGCTGACAACGTGCTCTACACGTGAGAGGGACAGGAGGAGGGGGTATTATGATGGGTCATCTACAGCCTACTACTAAGGGCAGTGCTGAATGCTTCCTATATGTATAAATGCCTGCTGATCCTAGAACTGAGCTTACTTTTTCATAGATGGAAACATTTCAACGAGAAGATGGCCAAAGAAAGGCCTTGCCAAGGAACCGACAGCCTGGGCTCGGCCACATTCTCGGGAGCTCCCTCCGAGGGCTCCCCCACAGGGTTGCTCACAAAGCCAGGGCTCACATCGGGGCAGGCTAGCACACATGCTTGGATTTCGTGGGCAGCCACTCCCACCCCTCCTGCGACCATGCCAAGGAGCAGGCACGTGAGGGGGGAAGGTTAGGCACAGCAACCAAGGGTTGGCACATTCCTAGGCAGAAGTTCTTGCTGCTGGTGGTCGATAGTGAAGGCCTCAGTCTCTACACCTTTCTCTATCCTTTCCCTCTAGAAATTGGGTACAGAGACCTTTACTTTAACTTGGTTAAATATACAAGCACAAACACACATATATTCTAGTCCACCTTCACTGCATCTGAGGTATGTACAGAAGTTTTCACAAGACACTCTGATCCACTACTCACTCAACAGCTAAAATGCCTAATACATGCTTAGGCCAGGGTCCCAAATGAATGAATGAAAAAACAGGTTGATAAATGGATGCTGTAAAAACTCAGGCTGAATGCCTATCCCCAGCAAGGCCTCCCACTGCTCTATTTTTGCAAGAAGTGAAACAAATGAATGGGAAACTGCTGCCAAAGCCGTGCGAAATGTTCCAGTCACTAAAACCTGCAGTCAGCACTCGAGTTTCAGCACTGCTTGGTGGGGTTAAGAGACACCTAACACTGAGCAGAAGTGGAGATCACTCTTGCTTCATTCTGTTGCTTGCATTTGGCCAAGAAGAGCCTTGGTTGAAAGTTACTGATGAACTTGACATATTTTCCCCTTAAAATCCAGTTAGAAAAATCTCTCATCTTCTTACAGTGAGCCTGATGTACAGGCCTCGATAGCATAACTGCACTGGGGTTCACCGTCTCTACGAGTCTGTTCTTTGAAGGAAGGAGAGATCTGGAGGGTTTGGCTTACCTTGGAAGACTGGGGGTGTGAGGTTTAGGTTTACTAGCTACGAAAGGCTTTGATTCAGGAGGAATCACTCCATGAGAGTTTTGGTGTGGTTCCTGTGAAGGTCTAGGAGGGGCGGGATGCGGGTCCCTGAGAGGCTGCGTTGGTTGCTGAGAGTCCGGATGGCGAATCGATTCCTTTTCCCTGGTTTTGTTTTTGTGCTCGGCTAATAACACATCAAATCGTTTTCTTCTACCCTGGACAGCCCTCCGCTGAGTTAAGGAATGTGTCTACAGACCAAAAAAATAAAAATAAAAATAAAAACTGAGGAATCTCAGTAATATTTTTTTCTCTGTCATAGATGCAAAAACATCATTTCCAATTAAAAAAAAAACAGCAAAAACAATCTGGACCATCAGCATAGTTAAAAGGCTGGTCATCATTTGATATAAATCATAGGAGTGTGACCTTTTTTCTTTAGCTAGAGCAGAAGCACCTATTTGGTGATGCTATTTCCACCAGAAGAAAGAAGGAATGTTAGCTGTGCCACCTGGTATGTAAGTGAATGGCAAACAGTAGAAACAAAGAGGTGACAGTGCCCTTATTTATCGGGGGGTCTTACCAACTCAAAGAGAAAAATCCTTCTCGGGGCCATTTAGATTTTAAATATTAAAAAGGAAGAAACGCTTATGCCTAAAAAATGTATCAGGGGCACCAGGCTGGCTCAGTCAATAGAGCATGTGACTCTTGATCTTGGAGCTGTGAGTTCAAGCCCCACAACGGCCATAGAGCTTACTTTAAGGGGGGAAAAAGTGTCCTTTTTCAGTAACAGCCAGAAAGTAACAATTACACAAGTGTTTCTCTCTATTCCGGTGAAAATACCATGTCAAGAGAAAATGACCCAGAGCACCCTGCAGGCAGGACGTATCCTGCTTCGGAAGAGACACAAGGAGTGGAAGGCCAGGAGGAGAAAGGCTGTGAACAGGAAGGGATTCTGAAGCAGAGCGAATCGTATAAACACACACGTGCTATGGACATCAAGAAAACTGACACACTGCACTTCTACATCTTAAGACATCTCATTTCAGAATTAGGAAATGGGTACATCGAAAAAAAGAAAGGTCAATGCCAGCAGGGTAACTAACAGAAACACCTGTTTGAGGCACATAAAAAAAATGCCTATACACCAAATGCATTTGATAATTCCTGTTTTTGTTTGTTTTCTTCTTAAGGCTCACCTGGGGCTAATACTATTCCTAGAAGAAGCCAAAGTCAAGTTATCCTGACCATTCCCTACTGCTGGGGTCTGAGTCTGTCAAAAATGTAAGGGGACAGTGACCCCAAATCATATATCGCAAATACAACTTAATTCATCTACAGATTTCCTCCACTCTTTTACCTTACAAAAATAACGCAAATGGTATTTTGTGTGTGTTTATGAGCCTACACGTTATACAAATGTATCACTGCTCTATAAGCTTATATGTTTGATATAATTTAGGGGTTGGAGGGGAATTAAGCTTTTAATGTCCTTCTGCAATTCAGTAACAACCTACCTCCTGATTGGACATACTATGTCTGCTCAAAATTTAACCTGGCAGAGATAGTTACATCAGTGAGTTTAGCTTCTTTTTAAACTTTTACTTAATTTCCTTTAAAATGTCATAGATCCATAAGAAAGTAACCTAAATAAAGATAAGGAAGCTTGTTTTGTTCAGTGCTTTACTAGCTACCTACTAGTGCACTGGGCACTCAGTAAATGCTTCAGACAAAAAAGTGTACAAAAATGATGGCCCTCTACTATGTGCTGAATGAATGAATGAATGGACATATAACACCACTGGTCCACCTGCCTATCTCTCTGGACAGATGTGGAAACTATTCCTCATCTCTGAATGTCCCCTAGTGCTGAGAACAGCAAAGTTGAGCCAACAAAGGAGGCAGAGTTGACCAATATTTCCTCAGCTTGGTTTGAAAAATAAATAGGATTTCCACTGAGCCTCCCACCCCTCTCAGGATTCTTTAGGGCTGCCCAAGTACCATATGCCCACATACGGGCATGTAACTGGGTAATCGAATACCTGTGCTACCCACTCCTTTCATACCAAGTGCCGCCGCCTCTTGCTGGTCAACCTCCTGGCTGGCCCTTTAGATCCTAATGTGTCTGTTCTGCCCCATCCCAGAACACTTACACATGCTACTTCATGGGCTCTTCGCCCAGGTAAGTCGTGTGGATTTCAGCCCGGTTTTGCTATGGCAAAGGACACTTTCCTGGCGCAGTCCCCCTACTGATGGCTGCCATAACACAGGCCTCCTTCCTTTTTATTACTCAGCAGTGGTTAACTCTGCACATACATGAGTGCTCATGAAGTCAACCTCCATCTCGCTCACTGTAAGGGGTTTCACTGTAAGCCCCTCAAGGCTAGGGAGCGGTCTTGATTCTGTCAAAGCCTGTATCCACTGAGACGCAGAATGAGGCCTGTGCCCAAATGTATGCAACAAAACTTTCTACAATGACTGAATGGGCAAGAGTATCAGAGCCAAAATCTACTTACATGGAAGACAGAGAGGACAAGAAACAGGACATCAGACAGACAAGGAGGTGAGGAAGGGACAGCGAGGGTGGCAGGCAGACCACAGGGAACAAGTGACGGGGCGGGCGGCAGCAGACCCCCCGACACTGCAGAGGAAGGACTGCACTGTTGGTCTGGGGCAGGAGAGGCCTGGCATCACGGAAGCCATCCAGCGGAGGCCCTCAGGCGCGGGCCGCTGTCCACAGCTTAATGGGTCCAGGCCACACCAGAGGCAGGGAAAGGGAGAAGCGGGGACAAAGAGAACACAGGAGGAAAGGAAAGACAGCTTGTGGAAGCGCAGGCCTGCCACTTCTGTGCTGAACTCGTGACACACTGGGGCTGCAGAAACATGCTCACGCGGAGACAGACCTAGCAGCATGCTACCGTGACGACACCCGGAACAGAACACAAGGAGAGCACACACGACTTGAACAGGAGGCTGGGGGAACAATGCAGCATCCACAGGAAGCCCATTTACCCATCAATAAAGTTTCAGGAGGAAGGCTGGTCAGTCTTGCACACTGTGAGTTGGTAAAGCTTCTGGTTCATGGGCGTGCCCCACCAGAGACGATTCAAGGAGAGCAGCTTGGATAAAGCAAGCATCCTTCATTGACCACAGGCGCCCTAATACTAGGAAATTCACGTACTGAGAGCCAGGCAGGCAGGAAGAGGGCCGACGGCAGCTGGCAAGCTGTGGTCACAACGTGGCGCAGGACTGAGGCCTGTCTTCACTGACTCCCTCGGGGGCAGCTACCTCGGGGCACAGTTCTACAGAGCTATCTTCAAACACCACCACACTGCTATAGGGGTTCAATTAATATTATACGAAAGCAATCTGTCCTGAGATAGGAGTTTTTAGCTCAGAGATTCAAGGGTGGGGGCTTGGGGTGAGGGTAGCTGCAAACCTGAGGCAGAATGCAAAATTCAGAATATATATGTATATGTATTTTTTCCTTGGGGAAGATGATCTGTGATGTTTTTAAAATTAGATATTTAAAGGAGCTCTTAGCCAGCGCCTTTCCTCTAAAGATTCAGAACCACTGTTGTAAGGTAAAATCTACATGCTAAAATTAAATTTGAAATTTAAACTAAAATAAGAACCCCTTAGAAACAACATTTCTGGGGCACCTGGGGGGACTCAGTCTGTTATCTCAGGTCACCATCTCCCAGGTCGTGAGGTCAAGACCTGCATCAAGCTGTCTGCTGTCGGCACAGAGCCCACTTCGGATCTTCTGTCCCCCTCCCGCTCTGCCCCTCCCCTGTTCACACTGTCTCTCTCTCTCAAAAATTAACAAACATTAAAAAAAGAAGCAATGACATTTCCACTTTCTGAAGATTTTGCCATTCCTCCTGTTAGGAGGTGGAGTGGGGCCTGAAGTCCATTACACAAACATAACCTTGGGTAAAATTTAAAATAATACACCAAAAAAATTATTAATTTTTCGAAAACAAAATTGTTTATAATTTTTACCCCCGCCTCCAAACAACAGTTTTTAAATTACTTTAAAGCAGTGATTCTCAACAGTTTCTGAACTCTTCTGAAAGGGAGCTGGGGAGGCTCTCGAGAGAAACGCACATAAGCATATGTGCTCGTTCGTGTAGGAGTTCCAATGGGACCCCCCGCATCATAGCAAATGCATCACCTGCTTCTCAGCACACTGGCATTCTAACGGAAAACTCGGGACAGAGAGGAGGATCGTCACATTTTCGTAGCTTATGTATGAGTGAGATTGTATGTTACCTAGTATTTTTTTTTAGAAATGGAAAAATAAGTCTATCTCAAAATCAGATTATTTTAAAGTGGTTCTTTAAAATTTAAGAACCACTGATTACACAAGCATTTTTTTAAATATTTCTTTATTTTTGAGAGAGAGACAGAGAGAGAGAGAGAGTGAGCGAGCAGCGGAGATACAGAGAAGAGGGAAACACAGAATCTGAGCTATCAGCGCAAAGCCCAATGCTGGGCTCGAGCTCACAAACTGTGCGATCGTGACCTGAGCTGAAGTTGGACACTTAACTGGCTAAGCCACTCAGGTGCCCCTACACAGCATTTTAAGAGTATTCACACATACACCAAGGAAATTTCTGGACTTGTTTTGAATTCATACGATTTAAATCACAATAAATAAAGGGTAGGCTCTCATTTTAAATCTCTCTGAGAATATATTTACAGTCTTTGAAAACAGCAGACTGATTAGCCAAGGACACTATTCCTCTGGATAGGACACTGGAAGCAAAACATCTCTTCCGATGGCAGTTTATAACACAAGGGTCCTGAACTCAAGGCGTTCTTCATCCCTTCATTTACAAAATGCACAATGCTCCACGCACCAGATCCCCTCTGGGGGGCAGTGCCACGGTCCCAGCTCCGTGCACTCAACAGCGCACCCAGCCCTGTCCAGAAGCCCACCTACCTTGCATGTCAAAGACCGGGTGCAGGGCTTCTTGGTGTCGAGATCGATGACCCCACAGTGTATGTCAGGATCAAACTCTCTTTCTGCCAAAAGCACACAGACATTACAATGTGCTCATCAAATACTCCTCCATTCGCTTTGCAAACAGTAGGAGAATCCTCAAAACAAGCATTTATAACCTGAACAAAATCTACTCCATAGTAAATAAATATAAAAGCTACAACATGCGAGTGCTGCCACACCGCAGTGAGAGAGGCCACAGAAAGCGCGGGGGACTCTTGCCACCACTGGACAGGGCAGGGACTGTGCAAGTCAGCATCCCTGCAGCACTCCATTCACAATGCTCTGCTCGGAAGCTATTTTTACATTACCTGCAGACACATGTACTTTAAAAGCAAGAGTGAAGAGGTCAGCAGAGCACCTCAGGAACTTCACATAAAGCTGACGCTGACCAGTTTAAAAAAAAAAAAAAAGGACTCGCAGACAGCAGTCCATCGGTTCCCTCATCAACACCCAATTATACACATTATGGGAAAAAATGTGAAGTTACCTGATAATCTCTTATTTAAAAATTTCCTGTTATTGGAATTATCTTCAGACTTTTTTTCCAGAGTGGATGGTGCGGGAAGCCCTTTGCCATTCAGAATCTGTCCAGGTGAAGGCAAGGGTGGCTTTGGTATTGAGGGGCAGTTAAGGCCAGGCTTCGCTGAGGAACTCACAGTAGCAGGACAGGCGGGCCCCACCGCAGATTTCAGTAGTGTGCCGTCCATCTTCGGGTGCATCTTCTCCACTTTGACAGAAGGCGTCATGCTGTCATGGGGGGAGCAAGACATCAGCACCCGAGTGCCCCAGCAGCTCCAGGTAAGGGGTGAGCCTCGAGGGCTGAGGGCAGAGCCTGATCTACCCACACACTACACAGAGCTAGGCTCCCAAAGGCAACTTCTGAAAGTGTGTCAGGACTACCCAGAGAACTTGGTAAGGTTCACGGTCATTCAGTCTATAAGCCCTTCTGGTGAGGCAAAAAACACCAGTGGACAACCAGATTGACCTGGTTTTTCATCATCCAGGACAATCTCCCACATGAGCTCATGAGAGAACTAAGCCTGATACCCAACTCAATTCCCACAAGAGGCAAAACAGGAATCGGTCTAAAAGGACCAAAGACCATCTGTAAAACCTTTAGAGAACATCTTTGAGAACTATCATTTTAAAGAAAGGATCCATCAAAACAAATCAAACCGAGTGAACAGAGGCAAGAATAACGAATTACATAATGTGTCCAAGAAATGTCACTAAGGACATACAAGAATTCAAATGAGCCTAACTAGACCTCCGAGAAGAGGCTCTCTGCCCTGTCAGTGAGGGAGACCAATGTTTAGTTACGTAATGTGTCACTGAAATGGTAATTCTCCAGTCTCTAAAAAAGGTTTCTATAATCAGAGTGCAGAATAGAAGTGCCTGGCACACGCTGGTGAGCATGGAATACCTGGGCCACTAATAAAGAATTGATTTTGCTGGGAATCTTACTGACACTACCATGTGGATGGCAAATGTTGGTACAGAGCTAACAGTTGGCCCGGTCCCCCTCTAAAGCCCAGATCCCAGTAAAGCAGATTTGGATTGATGGGGTTTTATAAACTTTGTTCAGCAGAGTCCATGCTCCAACAGCTGTTAAGCTGGCGAGTGACTTACACGTAGCAGTGGCTTTTTCTTTGGCTTTCAGAACGGTCCAGGAACGAAAGCCAAGCCTGCTGTACTTGCACTTCTGACAGATGAGCAGAGGCTGGGGGGGCTTAGCAACCAGGACAAACAGCACCAAACAGCTGTACCTGGAACGGCCTGACAGTGGCGGATACACTGCAAGAAGCCACAGCCTTGCCCAGCTGGCAAGGTCCTCGAGCAGCAGCAGGTGCTAGGTGCTGCCCTGAGATTAACCAGGTTACAGACCCTCGGACTGAGATGTGTGGCAGGCAGGGAAAGGGAGGCAGGCCAGGGAAAAGCCGCCGCCACCAGGGCTGAGGGCCACCATGACAAGGCAAGAAAGGTTTCCAGGGAGCACGCGGCTGCTCCCTCACATGACCACACGGAGCCGGCAGCCTACAGATCCACTGTGCAGACGTGCCACAGCCTTGCCTGGCGATGTGAACTTCTTCCGGTCTTCCCTCATTGCCACTGTGATGTGAATCCAATACTAGTGCGCGGGGGGGACAGGGGGCGAGCATTGTTTCCCCATCTGCTTTGCGGGCTCCAGAAAATCCTAGAACAGCATCTGGGACTCGCCTAGCCTTTTTACTACTACTGTTATCAACAGCAGCAGCAGAAGCACCAGGACCCATTCATTTACTGTGTCCTGTGGGTCAGACATGACGCCAGGTGCTTGACGCAGCTACATGAATTCTACTTCTCCCAAAAATGCTGCCCTCTGGCTGTTACCCTCCGAGCGTGAGAGAAACGGGGCCTTGTTCAAAGCCCTGCGGTTAGAGAGTGACAGGTGACAGAAGGGTATGTGAGCCCACGCCTATCTGCCCGCAGAGCTTGCTAAAGCTCCTCAGCCACCTTACGCGTCCTGGTCCTCATCTGCAAAATGGGCATAAGAGCCAGAGGTGTTCCACAGGGTTGCTGTGACAATTCAATGACAGCCCACAAACAGAGCCACATTTCCACAGCTGGTACACAACGAAGAGTCCATCAACAAGCACTGCTGACCTGATCATTATCACTATTCCTGTCCTGTGAAGTCTTCCAAATTAGGACAGGAAAGCAAGAGGAAACAACACGTACTTGATTTTTCCCCAAAGCAGGCGCTCTTCCCCATGATTCACAGCGCTCTCGGCTCCTGCTGGGCACCGTCCCCACCCGGCCAAAGCGCAGAGAACCCTCCGGGCCATACTCACATTCTACCATGGGGGACTCTACTTTGTTGAATGGGCTGCATGGGCCTGGTGTTCCCCCTGAGGTGCAGTTTCTCTTTGGGTGATTTCAGCAACTTGGAACTTAATGAGGATGCGCCTCCAGCACCTCCACTGGAAGAACGGCTGCTTCCACTTCCGCTGCCTCCTTTGCTTTTGGACAGAGAAGGGAAGAAGGGAAATACTGACGTGGGAGGAGCGGCCCAAGAAGGCTTGCTGGAGGAGCTGTGTCTTCTTTCTGAAAAGGGAAGGGGGGGGAAAAAAAGACACCGTGTTTCAGGCAAGTCTCCAACGGAATCCTGGAAGAGTCCCCTGAAATCAACACATTTAGGTTCAAATATGCGTCACTAAGTGAAAATATATTTCACTCAGCAGCTTTCAGAAACGGCTTATCTAGGCCTCACAGACTTATTTAGGATTCTAGGAACTGGTCCTTCTGCTTTGGAAACATCTCAGCATAAAGTGGTTTACCATATGCAGATAGCCATTAGGAAATTAAAGGGCCATTCTACGCCTAAGAACCTCTGGTTATGCTCACTAGGAACGAACCTCACTCATGCCAACGGGGAGTCAGCACATCACCTGCTCCTCCACAGAGCTATCTATACTGACGCCGCACACATTCCATCTTCCTTTCTAGCACAGCAGCTTTCCAATTTTTTGAATCGCAAATGTCAAGAAACAAGTTGTACCTTAATTTTTGTTCTGTCGCTACCCACTAGCATGTGACACCAAATGAGAATGTTTCTAGGGTTATCATTCTTTGAACCTGTGCTGAAATTTTCCGGTGAATCACTTTACTCCCTCTTTTGTAAGAATCTCACTTGAGTACAGAGGGCACAGCCCAGGTTCACACTGCTGAGATGCTGACGGTGCAAGACATAAATACCACAAAGAGCTGCACTTGTTTCTTAAACCAGGAAGTAACTCATGGTTAAGTACAGTCTACACTGGTTTACCTGAAAATAAGTCTACCCACTGGAAAATCAGGTTTTCTCATCATAAAGCAATCCATACGAAATAAATAGAGAGCTGCTGAAGAATGGTACTATCTGAAACTAAATTATTTAGGAACTTTATCTACTTAAGTACCTTATGACAGTAGCTTAAGGACTGCCTTCAATTAAACTTGCAATTTAAAACAATGCACGGCTTAACTTTAAGTTTTAAAATGTACTTGATCCAACATTTACTTATCACAAGACAGAAGCTATATGAACATTTAAAAAATTAAGCAAACTAGAATCAGTGACTATAGGCACCATACAAATGGTTTATTTCTAAAGTCTTTTTTTGTTTGTTTGTTTTTGTTTTTTAACCAGTCCTGAGGTTCTCTGCAAGGCTGAGATGACTTACTCCCAGAAGGCCATCAGTTCAACAATAATTTATGAAGTACTTAAGAACCTTCTACAACAGGACAAAATTATTATGCTGATCTACAGACAAAAGTCCAATTGTCCAACTAGACCACACAAAGGCCTCAACCAAGTCAGGACAGCTAAAATGACAGTGACTTTTTTTTTTTTTTTTAGGTTTATTTATTTTGACAGAGGGACTGCAAACAGGTGAGGGGCAGAGTGAACAGAGGTGAGAGAGAGCCTCTGCATTGTCAGCGAGGAACCTAATGCAGGACTCAAACCCACGAACCGTTAAGATCATGACCTGAGCCAAAATTAAGAGTCAGACAGTCGGGGCACCCGGGTGGCTCAGGCGGTTAAGCGTCCGACTTCCCCTCAGGTCATGATCTCACAGTTTGTGGGTTCAAGCCCCGCGTCCGGCTCTGTGCTGACAGCTCAGAGCTTGGAGCCTGCTTTGGATTCTGTATCTCCCTCTCTCTCTGACCCTCCCGTGCTCTCTCTCTCAGAAATAAATTTTTAAAAAAATTTTTAAAAATTTTAAAAAAGGGTCTGTCAACTCACTGAGCCATCCAGGTGCCTCTAAACTGACAGTGACTTTAAGTGCCTGTTGCTTTTTTCTTCTTCTTCTGATCAAAGTTGTGTGCATAGAAGGGAAAACTAAAATAACTTAAGTTTAGTAATTTTCTAAATTTGGCATCTGAGTTTTTTTTTTCCTTCTTCTTCTTCTCTAGTTTAGTTTCTCTCTCCTCTGTGATTCCCAAACACTGTCTGAATATCCTTCCAAGCACCGGCACTTGTCAGGCAGGACTGTAAAAATCTGTTTCCAGTTCTGCCGCCTTCCCTGGATGGTGAAGCTTCCTGTCTGGGTCATCTCTGCCCCTGTGAGACCTGGCGCAGAGCAGACCTTCACTTAACATCTGCACCATTGGTGCGGCTTGTCTGGTGAGGAGGAGTGATGTGAAACAGCGGGGGACCAATGGCTCTCAACCCTGGCTACGCAGTGGCAGAACCTAATGAGCTTAACAAATACAGATGCCTGAGTATTCCGATGCCAGAGAGATTCTGATTCAACTGGTTTGGGGTGTGGTCTGAGCATCCAGACTTTTATAAGTGCCCCTGTGTGATTCCACTGTGCAGTCAAGGTTGAGAGCCGCCTGACACTAGGCTAACGCTCCAGAACCATTAGCCACGGCTGAGTAAGTTAACACTTGTAGGGCAATGAGAACACTGCCGGGCATGGGGCGCTTCCTATCAGGGTCTATTAAGTAAAGCTCACCACTGCTCCCTGTCCTCAACTACTGCTTTCCGGACTTCCAGCAACTGCAAATTGTTTCCATCATTCTTACCAAAGCCACAAAAAATACTATTTTTTACTGAACATTTTTATGTAATTCATCAGCTCTACTGTTCTCCTCCTCTGCCACCAATATTAACCAGTCTCTCTTGTGGGGGCACCACTGGTATTTCGGACAGGACACTTCTTGTATAGGATTTCAGGATGACCAGAGGTCCTGTCCCCTGTCCCTTAATCAGCAGTGGTGCTGCTCTGCCAGGAGCAGCCTCAGACTACCCTCCAGTCCATTTTCGCATCACCCAGGGGGAAGCAGGGGACTACCCTCAACTTGGAATGATTTCTCCGAACAATAGTATCTATGAAACAGCAGGTTTGACAAGCTTGTTCTATATATTTTCCATATACGTTAAAATAAATATTAAAATACTCCTCCATGTTCACCCGTGGAAATCATCTGGTGTATTCTTGATGGAAATGAAGTGTGTACTGCAGGAATGATACCATGTTTGTGATATGAACAGGGAGAAAACTCCCAACTTAAACTTTTATGAAGTACATCCTTTCACTATTCTCTGGGGATCAAAATTCTCAAGCTAGTGTCTTAGAGTAAACGTGATTTTAAAGTACTTAAAAAGTATTTTCTCTTGATATCAAACGAAATAAATAAGATTCTCAACCTAATTCAATATAGTTTTGCTTGTAAAGCTTATTTTCAGAAAGCAACTTTATTCGAAAGCCACTGATATACAAAGGCACAATTTGAGCATATGAAATACTGCATCCACTTTTATAAGATTTCATCTGCAGAAAGTACTACGTCAAGGCAGAAAAATGACACCTGGCTGCACTGAGCCACGTGGGTGCACACCCCTTGCCCACACATCCACCATGCACCCCAGGCCACTGTGGATGAGAGGTGCCACACCCATCCACAATTGGTGCTACAACTCTCCCTAGACCCCAGATAACCTGTCTACTTCTTCACAATAACTCACAAGCTGCAGCTCTTCCAACATCTCCTTCCAGAAGCAAATGTCAGTTCATTTCCTAGTAGTCACCTATTCTTAACCATTTAATCTCCAGAGCACTGTGCTACTCTTTCTGCCAGGTTCCTATCTTTTTTGTGTGCATCACTAATGAAGTTCTGAGTGCTGTGCCCATAGCCCCATTCTCCTAATGAGTCTCATGTGGATTTTATTCCACAATGTTGCAGAGTGCAGTAAGCTCTTAGGAATGTGTGCTGTAGGACAGCAGAACTGACTTTATCTTCAAGCTATCCTTTTAATTCTCAATTCCCATCATAGCTCAATACCACCATTTTCTTCAGCTATTACTTGATTTGGGATTTTGCACTAGAAAAATTAAAAAAAAAAAAAAAATCAAAGCTTCCTAGCATGAAAAAGCAGCTGTAAAAGTATTGATAACATTTCAAAAAAATTACATTTTATACTTCAGTAATAAAAGCTATTTAAAAACTAAGAATGATAATCTATTATGTGACTTTCATTCACTAAACTTAAAATAGACTTGTGTGTGCAGGCACACACGTGCAGGCGTGTGCATGTAACAGATTCTGGCTGAAAAGTGCCAGCTCAAATCCTTGTCATGCTGCTGAATTAAGTTGTTCCTTCACATCATGGTCTGGTAACTTATTCTCTGGAATGGGTGGCATCTGGCTTACTCTCTGTGAGAAAGCAAAGAGGAAAAAACAAATTTAATTACAGCTGAGTTGGACTCCCCCTCATTTCACTGTGGGCCTTTACTTTTCATAAGATTTTAAACTGGGCTTCCAGCTTTAAAAAAAAAAAAAAAGTGTTCCTAGATCAAAAGAGAATGGGCAAGGTACGGGTAGGGTTAGGGACCTTCTGTTAAGTGGGCAAACTGGTGGCTGGGTGCTAAGCATAACTGCAGTGTGGTTTGGTGAGGAGTCCAAGTTGAGTTTTCAAAGCACTCCTCTCTACAGGGTCTGGCACCAGCTCAGAGAAAGCACACTCTGTTGTCCCTAAATAAGAAGGGTACTTTGAATGGCTCCAGCAAAGGGAGAGATAGTTAGGCAGCCCAAAAGGCAGACAAGTACAGACAGGGAAAGACAAAGCAGAGACCCAGACAGGCAGACATGGGTGAGTGTGTGTGCTGTTGGGGACATGGAGAGGAGGGGCGCCGGGGGGTTAGAGTAAACAGGGCAGACAGATGTGAAGGGAGAGGAAGACGTGCAAGGTGGAGGAGAGGGAGAAAGAGACTGTTTGCAAGTGTACAAGAGCTGGATATGCTGGGCTTGCTTCCCCCTTGCGGCTTGAACATGTGACACCACTGAAGGGAACGGCAGGGTATCAGGGAGGGTAAGGTAGAGGACGGCTCCTTTTAGGTCTTCCAAAATGGTAAGCAACCAAGAATACTGAGCTTGCAATCTGGGATTCATGCTGAGATTTAAAAATATACATATGTACGTGTTGATACCCAGGTACAAACCAAAAGAGTTCGAAGCAAATAATTAGATCTCTTTGAATCATAAACAGTGCTTTGAAAATAACAAAAAATAATTCAGATGCACAAGTGTCAAAGTTAGGGCACAAACCTAAAAAGCTA